CAGGTGAACACGACGGCGCGGACGAAATCCCTCCCGCAGAGCCGGACCGGGGTCCCCTCGCCTCTCCCTTCCCCCGGGGCACGCAGCAGGGCCAGCAGCAGGGCCAGCACCGCGGGGCTCATCCTGCAGCCGCGGGCACCGGAGGGAGCAGCCCCGGCAGAGCTGGGGAGCCCTCCCGGAGCCCTCCCGTTTATAGCGCCTCGTCCCGACGGGGACGGGATGTTTGCTGAGAACCAGTTAATCGCTTGTTTCCGGTGGTGCCTCAAGTGCCTGGGGGTTCGGGCCGGGTGTGACGGGCTCCGAGCTGCTTTTGCTATAGGAACGCGGGCAGTATAACGGGTTTATAGGGTACGGGCTGGGAGCGGTGCCCTTAACGAGGGTAAAAAGTGAAAGGGTGCTTAGCACAGGAGCTGCAGATCGTGGGGTTTGTCTCCGCGTGTCTCCCACGCAGCTCGTTGCCCAGTCGTGCCTGGTATCCCTGTGGAAGCAGCGCCGGGTCTTTGTCGGGCAGTGATCCCAGCCCAGAGGGAGCTGAGGGTTCCCAGGTCACCTCTCCACCCACCTGCTGGGGCTGCAGAGGGAGCTGAGGGTTCCCAGGTCACCTCTCCATCCAGCTGCTGGGGCTGCAGAGGGAGCTGAGGGTTCCCAGGTCACCTCTCCACCCACCTGCTGGGGCTGCAGAGGGCCCTGCCTGCTTGGGGAATCACTCATGGCAAAATGATTTCTCGAAGGGGTTTTGTGGCAAATCTAAGCCTGCAGACACCTGGCTGTGATTCCTGGTGTTGCTCCACCTGTGGCACACGGAGCCTGGGGGCACAGCGAGCTGGGCCAGCACAAGCTCTGCACAGCAGTGCAGTTGTTGGGCAGCTTGTGCCTTGCAGGCACTGCCTCCCAGGTGCTGAGATGCCCAGGAGTGTCCCTGCAGTGAGGCCTATGGATGGGGCCCGTGGCCAAAAAGTCACAGAGGGAGAGGCTCTGAGCAAAGCCCTGCACAGCTAGAGAGAGGTCGGTGTCCTTGCTGTGCTTTCCCTTTGGGTAACATCTTCAAGACAGAGGTGGGATCACTAGAGCAGCGTTGCTGTGCTCTGGCAGCAGGGGTGAGTGGCTTGGTTGTGCTGCAGTGGGTGTTGTTGGCTGCAATAAAATGCCTTAAGGAGAAAATTTGTCAATGATGAGGCCAGAAATTTGATGTTTAAGAGCAGCCAGCACAGTCAATTAGTTTCCATGATGGGCAGGGTGAATGATGATGTGTCACAGCCTTGATACTCACCAGTAAACACCTAAGTAAACAGTCATGACCACCCATGGAAAATACATGGTGTATTTTGTTCAGATTGGTAATAATGATTAACACATGATTCACCTTAATGGGTGTCTGCCTTCAGAAAGCACCAAGATGCATTTTATGTGGGGGGTGTGCTTGCATGTTCACTGTAAAACGTGCAGGACACAGAAGGAGGGAAATGTTAATGCATCACAAATGATCTTTAACTTCAGTGATGTGTTTAAATGCTGGGCATTTACTGTCAGGCTAATGGGAGAGTCTGAACATCCTGTATCTATAAAATCCCCATCTCTCTCCATAATGTTTTGGGGAGCAGCAGTTGCCTGGGAGGAAGGACACCTCCCTGCCAGCCTTCCCATCATCCTGCTCCTGGGATGGGGACCCCAGGAGCCCAGCAGGCAGGAGGGGCTGCAGCTTGCTCTTTGTTACTCATCTGTCAGGATGCTTGTTGTTTTCTGTGAGCAGCCCCTCAGAACCCTCTGGTGACACCCCAGGCCAGCTGGTGGCCTGGTAGGGGATGGGTTTTTTTCCCTGTTTCTTCTGATCTGTCCCCAAAAGACACAGCCTGCAAGGTGGGCTGGAGTGTTCCCAACAGCTTTGGGATCTCCAGCTGCTGGGGGTGGCCTAAGGGAGGTGAGGGGATCTCCAAAAACACTCTTCTGGCTCCCAGAGCTGCAGAAGTCCATCCTGGCTCCAGGACCACATTGTGACCTCGTGTGAGGAGCTTTCAGGAGAGTGTCAGTGTGGAACAGTGAATTTAAATGGTGGCTTTGCATTATCCTGATTTGTTAGGGGTTGAAGAGGTTGATCTCTACTTTTGCCTGGTGTGGGGTGATCTGTAGCGTGCAGGGGGACCTGGTTCCACCCTCACTGTGGGGTGGCAGACGGGGTGGGTGTGATGGCAAGTCCGTGCTCCTACTGTATGATTCCACAAGGCAGACTCTGCCTGCATCTGGTAAGGACCTGGGCTGTATTGTGGAGTAGCCTACACAGGAGGTGACTTGGGCATTTTTGCTTTCTGAGTAACCCAAGGAGAGAGGAGACCTTGGAGGGAAAAAACAAGGAGAAAAAAACCCAGGAAGAAATGCCTACGGAGAGCTTTGCATTACCTTATCTGCAGCACAGGGAAGGCCAGCTCTGCATGAACACCCCTTGACCAAGGAGAGGGACTTCCAGGGGAAAATGTAGAGCATTTGAAAGAAGTTTACAACAAGTATGGTTTCAAAGAGAATCTTTAATGATTGAAAAAGAATAAATGGTTTATGTTAGCACTACAGTAAGTCCTTCTCGTTGTTTGCCAGCTGAGAAGTGGTATCATTTAACTGCTGTTAAACAGCTACAAGAGGACTAATGATGTCTGGTAAAGCATCAACCTGAAACACATAAGAAAAGGCAGTGGAAGGAAGGGATGGTGCTGGCAAGGGGTCTCCTCTGGCTAGTGAGGCTCTGGGACTCCCTGACCAGTTATGCCACACGCCCAAAATCAGTGACATTAAGCACTGATATTGTTAGACCTGGGCTGAGGACATGCCCAGAAAATTACTCCTGAATTCTTATTAACTGAAGAACTTCTCTGCTCAGAGGACTTTGAGCTGCTTCATAGGGCTATGTAGGAAAAAAGCAATTTTATTTTCTAAGTTTAATAAGAATGGCCTCACTTTTGGTTTTTAAGGGAAACACCTTTTCCTTTGTGGTTCACAGCATGTGACAAAAGAGGCTGAAAATGACCAGAATTTCTAAATGCAACCCTGGTCATTGCCAGTTATTAATGCTTCATACCCTGAGAATGGAGGTTAGAACATCATTCACTGTCCAACTTGAGGTGAGAGGTTTGCACCATGTAACTGAGAAGGGATTTTTAAAAGTACCAGTCCCACCTCACAAACTGGTGAATCCAGCAAGCCAGAGCTTCTGGCTCAGAGCTGGAAGGAGCAGGGGAGCAGTGCAGGTCGGGGCTGCAGGGAGATCCTGGAGGAGGGATCTACCTGGTGCTGGGGGACCCAGGGTAGTTGCAGGATGTTTTACAATGGACCAGGCAAGGAATGCCCCATGTGGCCTTGGGATAAATGAGCTCTGGTTTAAGCAAAAGTGAAGGGATTGGCAGGTGACCTCAGCCAGCTTCACCCTGCTGCTGACAGGGAATGTGAGCAGTGGTACCAAGGGAGAGGAACCTGGCTGTAAAGCAAGGGAAATCCTCGTTGTCATCTAGGGCAGAAGAGCCCTCACCAGGGTGAGCAGTGGCTTCTAAAAGTGAAGGCACAGCAGAGCCGAAGGGCTGGAGGCTTTGTGGGCACCAGCAAAGCCAGGTGCTCCTGGCGGTGGCCAGGAGAGGGCACATCTCCTGCGTGGTCAGCAGGGAAGGACGGTCACCTGCAGACAGCTCCCCCTGCCTGAGCGTGTCCCCCTGAATCCAGCTGTGGGGAACCTCTGGGTTTGTGATCAAGTGAAATCTGAAGCCTGACATTGCCTTATCTTCTCCTGCAGCTTCTAGTGGTATGGCAGGAGCCACCTCAGGTTTTCATCTGGTTGTGGGATTGTATCCCATTCCACCTGTTTCAGTCCTTATGCTCTTTAACAACCCCCTTCCAGCAGAATGCTGTCCCAGAGAAGCATGCAGCCCTCCAGGACCCCCACCCTCCCTGAGGGAGACCTACCGTGCTGCTGGGAGCAGGCAGGTTCTGCAGCTCCAACACAGAGACCCCTCCCTGGCTGTCTCCCACCAGCAGGCAGTCGGTGTTGGTGGCGAAGAGCACAGACGTGAATCTCCCCCTCGGGCTGGCAGAGCAAGAGATGGGGGGGCTAAAGCTGCAACCAGCAGAGGCAAGAATTAGTGATGCTGCAGGCAGCACTGCGTGCCCAGGTGTCCTGGGCTGGGAAGCCTGGCAGTGATGTCAGCCCAAGCCTTGGTGCAGGTTTGACTGGTTACGTTCTCAGTCAAGAACTGAAAAGTGAGGAGTGTTTTGCCTGGGCTCTACCAGCACTGAAATCCCAGCTGCTGTTAACTAAGATATCCTGATTGCCTAAAATCTGTCCCATTGGCCCATTTGCTACCACAAGGTTTGATGTGTCTCCTGTTCCACTGCAGGCTTCGTGCTGTCATCAATGCCAAGGACAGACCAGCAACAGGAGGCTGCAGGTTCATTCAGCTGCACAGGTGATGTGCACCTACTGTACAGCAGTGGGAAGACACAGAGGTACCTGAACTTCTGATCATTTTATCTTTATAAAAGCTCCAAAGCAGCTCAGAGTTATTTTTCCTTTTTAACTATGGCAGTGGTGCTTCAAAATGCAAGACTTGTAATCACTGAGCAAGCAAATGGCACGGAGTTGTTGTGGCCTGATAGCAATACTGATTAGGCAGCCAAGTGTGGTGGCCCTAGTGCCATGAAGCTTTGAAATCCCCTGATAAAAGTCATTACTTACACGCTGATGCTGAGATCCCAAACTTCCACTCTGCGCTCGTTGGCTGCTGCAAAGATGAAGGCTGATTTTGGAGACCACATGATGTCCAGAACAAAAGCACCGGTGGAAGTGAAAGTTAAAAGGGGTGTTTGTGTCTCTTGGTGCCACAGGAAGATGCTCCTGTCTGCAGAGCAGCTCAGGAACATGTCGGTGCTGAACGGATGCCAAGTGACTTTGTACACAGGGCCCTTGGTGTGAGGGAAGAAACCAACAGGAGCTTCGTGTCATTCTAGAGCTGCAACCTCACAGGAGGGGTTTTTAATACTTCTTAATCCCTGACTGTCCTCTGAGCTTAACAGCAAAACCAGCAGTGTGTTATGTGTACCTGCAGGAAACTGGGATGCAGCAGATGTGATGAGACAGGAGGGATTTTAGGAACAAACAGCAGCCAGCTGGTTCTGTCCCTCACTGGTTGTTGGGAGAAGCTGGTGCTGGAGGGGCAGCTTCTTGGATGAAGCAGAGACTTTCAGAAAAAGAGGTGCTGGCAAAGTCTTTCTCTCAGTAGAGGCAAGACTATTTAACTGTGGTTTGCAGGACAATCAGATTACTGATTTTTTTTTCCTTAAAAATATTCCAGACCTAAAGCTTTAAAACAATTGATGGTACAAGTTTTAATTAATTACTTTTAAAAAAGTTCCTTATAGTGTAGAAAGCAATCCTGTAAGGCTGCTGTTTTATGCTATGGGAGTTCATTCCTAATATAAGAAGTCTGGGTGTCTTTTGTTGCAGGAGTTTAGTAAATGTAAGCAAAGAAACTGTCACATTTGTGAACTTCACTGACCAGTTTCTGCTGTCATTCCTTTTTCAGTGTATCACTCACATTATGGCCTCTGTATGTCTCTAGAAACTGCTCCCTGCCAGAACAAGAACATTTGTGGATGTGACCTTCTTCTGTCCCAGCAAGATAAAGATCAGTATCCTGAAAGAAAGGTAAAAGTAACCCCAGTTGGATGAACCTATTTAGCACTCATCCAAAAATCCCCAGGGGTCTGGGTGAGGTTGGCAGTGACAGTCCCCTGAGGAGCTGAGGTGGAGCAGCCAGGCTGTTGTGTGGGCACAACAGGGGCCTGGCCAGGAGGCAGTGCCAGGGGGACCAGGCTTGCTCTGCCTGTGCTCCATCCCTGCAGAACACACACTGGGACTGTTGACTCCTGAAACTCTTGGACTTCCTGCAGCCCACATGGATGAACACACCAACTCTCCAAGTGCCCTGAGGACAAACCTTCAGCTGGATAAAGAGAAGAAGCACAGCCATGGAAAGTCCTACACGTGGGAGATGCTGAACCATCACATTCCCCCTGGTGTAACCAATATGCAGAGAAGAGCTGCCCTGGGACCTGGCCCAAAGCTGATGTGAACAGCCTGGCTGCAGGGATACAGCTGTTCACACACAGGGGCAACTTGCTTGGTTTACCTTCCATTTGGGGTAGAACTGTTTTTAGGTAAGAAGCAATTTGTTTCAGAACTAAATATGCTTGACATACCAGTGCAGGCCAGTGCACATTAAATGAGATGCAGCTGAGGATCTCACCTCTGCTGCAACAGTTCTGCTGGACAATACTTCAGCAAGGATGGACTTTCTGAACCTACCTTTGGATGGAAGGCAAAGCACATTCCAGCTGCCTGATGAGATATCCGGGTTTCACTTTTCCCTTCTTTCTCACTTGGTAATTCCTTCTTCTCACTTCCTATCCTCTTGATTTTCATCAGATCTGTGCAAATAGCAACAGTTCATGTCAGAGAGGGGTGTGACAGTGCTGAGTGACTCGTGCTCCTGTGGAATGCTCAGCAGCTCTGCAGGGTTTTGTGTTTGAGAACTGGTCTAAAGAACATCACCAGCAAGGAAATGAAGACATTGCCATTCCAGGGGTCATCCCAGTGTAGAACAGCTGCAGGGGAACATGCTCACCAGTGCAGTCCAGTCTTTTCTGTACAAACCACTGGGTTACTCGGCCATCTGCTGAGATGCTGATCAGTCTCTCCTTTCTGCCATCTCCTGCTGTGCCTCTGTCCTGTGCCACCCACCTCAGTTGCCACACGGGGCCTGTGTGTTTGTTCAAGGAGTCACTGGGGCAAAAAATGCACGTGGTAAGTCACATATGGACAAAGACAAGACAATGTGTTTGAAAAAATCCCTAACCTCTCACTTTGTAATGCATGTCAAGTCTTAGGACAGAAATGTTATTTAGCTTTTTGTTGTTGTTGTTGTTTAAATTGAAATCTATAAATTAGCCTTTTCTCCAGGAAACTTTTTGTTGTCTCACATGTTTGATATTGAGTTTCAGGGCACTGCTCAATCTGCTTCCATGCCTTTCACTGATACCTGGTCATGAAATGAGTCTGCACCTTGTACCAAATTGCCCTAGACCTGGGGAGCTGCCAGCATGGCAGATGTCTCCCTGATCACCCCCTTTCCCTCATTTTCTTCTTAATTCCTGCTCATCCCTCACTTATTCTGATATTCTCTCCATTTTTGGCAGATGGAATCAGTGGGAAAGCACCAAAAGCTGCCACTGGTCTCCCACAAGGACTGATTGCTGGAGCAGGATTGTCAGAGTTAGTCCCTGGAGTATAAAACGATACCTGGAGGTAATTTGCTGTGTTTTTGTGGATTGTCAGAGCCCACTCCACATTTGTTTGACCTCTCCAATGTGGGGAACTCTCTTCGGATGCACAGCAACAGTGCCAAGAGTTTCATACCCCAAGTAAGGAGCACTCACAACTCTTGTTGTGGGGGTCACTAATCCCTCAGCTTCCTCCCTGTGGACATTTCCTTACGTGTCAAGACGTGACCAAGGTGGGAGGAAGTGGGAAATCAGAGCCTTACCTGCTGTCTGAAATGACAGTGTCCTTGCAGCTCTGTACATCATAGATGGCAACAAAACCATTGTACATTCCCACTGCTAAGAGGTTTGGGTTGGCCATGGAAAAATCCAGAGCAGTTACTCCGTGTTTGCACCGGAAAACACGCTCGGGCCACTGAGCAGCAGAAAAACACAAGAGTGTTCTGGTTAGTTCCTTCATTTACCTCAGTCTTCTCAGCACTGGGTCCTGCTCTGCCAAGCTCTGCTGGAAAGTGCAGGTGCTGATGGTACCATAGTGACCACTCCTGGACAGAAATGAGGCACCATGTTCTAAATGGATTCGTTTATTTCTTGCTACAACTGAGGAAATTAGGAAAAAACAACAACTATCCAGAAACATGACACTGTAACATAAGTGAGATGGGGCTGCTCCAAACCAAATACCTAAAGGCCAAGTTCCCTGAGATCCAGCTACATTGAGAACAGTGTGTGGGTTTTGTTTGGTTGATTTGGGTTTTTTTCTTAGCATTTTTAGAACATTTCTCCCCTCATTTTCTATCTTGTAGCATGGAAGTAAATACCTTTCCAGTGACAGAAACTTAGCTGAAGGTAAAATGCAATCTAATGGACTTCAGGTAATCTCTGAACTCCTGTTTTCATGGACTTCCTCCCTGTAGCCAAAGAACTGGTGCAGATCTCAGTGAAACTAAAAGTGTGTGATTTGATGGCAATCAGATGGTTTTTGCTGTGCCACTTTGTGACAGATTTCCAAGACTGATTTATTTTTTTAAAATGGTTATAAAGATATAAATGTTACCTCTATGAAATCTGCTGTCTTTTTGACTGCATTATGAGAAGTTAGATGAGATCATGATCATTAATGATACACTTTTTATTTTCCTAACAGAACATGATGGTACAAGAGAAAATGGTTTGGAAAGGATCAGCCTTAAATTTAAGACCCAGATCTTCTCTGCAAGCCTTGAACAGATGGTCTCAAGATTTTGAAGAACAAAAGGTAGGTGGATTTCTTTTCCCACTTGGCTGTGCTCAGGACTCTTCCAGTATAAGACAATTTCTACACACCTGGGTCTACCCACAGGAATAATGGAACAGATTTACAGTCTCAGGTAGGTTACCCGAGGGACTGGAAATGAGATACTGAGACCTGCACTGCTGGGTTGCCTGGTACTACCTGGGAACTGGAACCATCTGTTCATTGTTTGGTGGCCTGTGTGCAGTGAGTTCAGTTCCTGGGAACAGATGTCCACGTTGCCAAACCACCAGTCCTGCTGGCAGTGTCAGCTGGGAGGATGGGCAGGCACAGAAACTCAAGTGCTTCCCATGGGCACTTTCTTTGGGTCAGGATTTAAGCCCCTTGCTAGTCAGAATCCATTTTGCAGAGATGTTTGGGCTAGCAAATCCAGCCTCACTGGCTAGGTCTTGCTTTTTGGAACAGGAAGAGGGAAATAAAGTAGCAACAGTAGAGCAGAAAAATGCATTGAAGGGGGGAAAAGAAAGAAAGCAAACAGGCTGCTCATTACCATGGGGTTCTTCAGTGACCAGCAGCAAGCCAAGCCTTCCTTCTGCTCTTTAAAACCAAATGCTCCATAACCAACAGCTAAAAGATCCTAAAAGCAAAGATTAAAAGATCTATCTCAGGTTAACTTGAAATTCAGCAGTGTATTTCTAAAAGGCAACTTTCTGTCAACACTCACTCTCAGAGCAAAGTCTGGAAAAATCCTGCTGATGTCATAGGCAAGAGGGATAACACACAAGCAGCACAGAATTTCCAGAATTCTGGGAACAGGTTCCAGTGAAAGTGCATTCATAGCCCCTGTCAGTTGTGTTTGCAGTCCCCCTTTCCAGAGGTGAACAGACAGTCTATAACCATATTTTAGTTTTTAGTGGAATATATAATAATACTCCTACTTTCCTCTCTCAGTGTCAGCTGCAAAAGGAGCTTAGAGACCACCTCCAGTCCCTAAGTTTTAGCTCCCTACAGTGGGGGCCAACGAATTCCATTTGTTCCTTCCTATAAGTGGAAGGAAGAATCAGGAGCAAAATTTTAGTCTTCAACTCCATTTATTTTTTCCTACCCACAACAAGTAGTTTGTGCAACTAACTCCTCAGAAGTAGGTGTTTGTTTGCCCTGTAATTCTAAGGCTGAAGTCTCCAAGTGTGTCCAGCTTTAGAATATCAGGTGTGCTAACAGTATGAAATGCTCTGTATTTTCTCTCTTTTTTTTTTCCCTTGGGGCAATCTCGCTGGTTTTTAGTTTCTCATCCTCACCTGCTTTTTACCTTCCTTCCATTAATTAATGTTGTTGTGGCCATAGGAGAGCTCAGTTGGAAAAGCTGACCCTTAGTTACCCTGAAAGTGGAGATGTCAGAGTCATTCTCACCCCCACTGCAACTGAAATAATTAAAGCTGGGCCAGCAGCTCAGAAAGCTGTGCCTGTTTTTATGCAGCTTATCCTGCCAGTCTGATGAGTGCTGCTTGCTGGGGGGCTGACTGCTAGAGACAAAGATGTGGTATCAAAACCATCATGAAACTCCCTCAGTGGTGAAGTTTATCAGGAGGGGTTTGCATTTCAACTTCCATCTCTAAGACAGGACCACATCTGTTGTCTAAACGGTGTTGTTCAGGTGGCTGCTCATGGTAAACTGATCTATTCTGGGCCAGTTAAAGCTGTTGTGAAACAGTGGTAGGAAAAGCCTAGTGCAGCTGTCCAACCTGTGGAATAAACCAGCATAGAATGCCAGACTGGTTTGGGTTGGGAGGGACCTTAAAGATCATCCAGTCCCAACCCCCTGCATGGGCAGGGACACCTCCCACCAGCCCAGGCTGCTCCAAGCCCCATCCAACCTGCCCTTCAACACTGCCAGGGATGGGGCAGCCACAGCTTCCCTGGGCACCCCGGGCCAGGCTCTCACCACCCTCACAGCACAGAATTTCCTGCTAATATCTAACCTGAATCTCCTTCTTCCAGTTTTAATCCATTCGCCCTTGTCCTCTCCCTCCCTGCCCTTGTCCCAAGCCCCTCCCCAGCTTTCCTGGAGCCCCTTCAGGCACTGGAAGCTGCTCTAAGGTCCCCCTGGAGCCTTCTCTTCTCCAGGCTGAACACCCCAGCTCTCTCAGCCTGTCTCCAGAGCAGAGGGTGGGGTGCAAAGGCAACCTCCCTGATGGTAGGGATGAACCCATCTCTCTGAGATCCCTTGCAACAAAGCCCATCAAAGCCAGGGTTTACTGACACCAACAATTGCTGATACCATTTTGGAACAGCTTAGGAGGAAGAAGTTGTTACCCACGGGGTTGGCTTTGCTCCAGGCCATGCTGCTCACGCTGTGACCCTCGGTTAAATCACACTGATACGACCACAGCTGCTCCAGGCTGGGGAGCACAGTTTCTTCTGGTGCCATATTTAGATATGCCAGAATTGATGGGTGAATGAAGGCTTCCTCCTCCTCTTCCTCTTCCTCACCCTCCTCTTCCTTCTCCTCTTCCTCAGCCTCCTGTTCCTTCTCTTCCTCAGCTTCCTCTTCCTTCTCCTCTTCCTCAGCCTCCTCTTCCTTCTCATGCTCTTCCTGTTCAGCATCTTCTACAGCTTCTTCTGTGTCACTAGTGTCTGAGGGAACATTGGGATCTAAAATGCACCAATTTCGAGGCTGAGTAGTAACATTTCACTTGTCTAACTCCAGTCACTCACCTCAAAAGAAAAAAATGCCCTTTCAGCAACCATTTTGCAGCCAAAATAAAGAATATTTGAGGAATTAAGACACTTTGACTTGTAAAGCTGTGACTGACACGTTGCCAGGGCCATAGGAGAGGCTGGATCAGGCTGCAGGGGGCCAGTTATGCTCCCAGTGTTTAACAAGTGGATCTAGCCACCCAGCAACAAGTTAAGAATTTATGTCCAACCCCACCAGGAATGTTTCTGATCTCTCATATTTAAAAACTTGTTGAAACAGGGATTTTTCTTCCAGTCAGATGCCAAATTGTCAAGAGCCAGATTCCAGCCCTGATGCTGTGACACTGCAGCTAAGCTACAAGGTGCTGTACTAAGTTGCTCATTATTTGGGAAAATTAAGTGCAGACCATGTTTTTAGGCAGTGTTTGCAAAGTACCTTTTTGTTTGTTCTGTTTCTTTGATGTAATGTGCAAATCAGACATGGATCTCAGATCACTGTGAACTAAATAAATGCCACAATAACTTGCCATATAGTCAGAACAAAAAGTCCTCCTGGCCAGGATTGTGCTCCAGCTGTAGCTTGTTCCTGAAGAGTGACCAAATATAATGTTGCCTGAGAAACTGCAACTCTCTATGGCACAAATAGGTACAGTAATACCAGTGTGAATCTGCCTTTTTTAGAAAAATAACTCCCTGTGCTAACTTGGAACTCCTATAAAAGGTAAAATATTACATAGCACTTGGGTCCAGGTAGTGCCTCTTAGTCTGTAATAAATGTACTTCATGTTAGATACTGGACCAGAACTGTTTACCATCAGTCTCCCTATAAAAGAGTAATTAAAAAAACAACTGTAAAAGGCATTCCAGTGCAAAAAAAAAATATGGTTGGAGAAGTAGCAGGATTAATCTGTACTTCAACTGTCAGGAAACAACTTTGATCAGTGTGTGGTGATAAGGGGAGATGAGCCAGCTCAGAACTCATCTCTTCAGTTCTAGTGGAGGGATGTCTGTTAAAGTGAGTGTAAAGCTGCAAAGGTCATGTTGACATCCCATAAACTCCTTTTTTTAAAATCTGTTTCTTAAATGAGTTGTCACCTGCCAGGACACTGAGTGAGGGACACAACTCCTTGTGCTGAAACCAGGTGCCTGAGACAGAACAGACCTGTGAGGACGGGCAGCTGCCGGTAGGCTGCGAGTTGGGGTTGAAAGATATTCTCCATTAGAATTCTCTCCATGACAAATAAATCCCTCTGGAAGTTTTCTGATGTTAATATAGCTTCTGACTGGCATCCCTCCTCCTTGTGCATTCCAGCAGTGGCTCTGGTGCCTTCTGCTTTTGATGGATATTCTCCTCCCGAGACATGGAACGAGTCGTACAGGTCCCAGGAGGTGACTGTCATCCCTGGAAAGGAATGACACTGGCTGATGCAAGGCTCTTGGTGGGGTGTGCAGACAGCTGAGCAAAGCTTCACTTCTTGTCCTGCACTCCCAGCTGTTTGGCAGAGGGACTGTGAAACCAACTGAGGGTTGGATAAGGCTGGAGCAGCAGCTGCCTCGGGGTCTTCTGGGTGCATGGTTGCCCTTCTGCAGGGCCCTCTCCCAGGGAACACAGCTCCCTAACCCTGCCTCTGGCTGCTCAGGTTTTAAGGCACAGCTTGGAATGAGCCCTTCTGATGCTCAAGGCACTCAAAAAAGAGAAAGAAAGGTTAATTAATATCTATTTTACTTCTCCTTTTGATATGAATGAGGTATTTGGCAATGACCACATAGTGGCCTTCCAGTACCTGAAGGGGCTCCAGGAAAGCTGGGGAGGGACTTTTGACAAGGGTTTGTAGTGAGAGGACAAGGGAGAATGGATTAAAATAAAGAGGGGAGATTTAGGTTAGACAGTAGGAGGAAATTATTCACCATGAGGGTGGTGAGAGCCTGACCCAGGCTGCCCAGAGAAGCTGTGGCTGCCCCATCCCTGGCAGTGTTGAAGGGCAGGTTGGATGGGGCTTGGAGCAGCCTGGGCTGGTGGGAGCAGACAGATCTAAAACTGAGATATTCCTCTCTAATTGTTTTAGAGCATTGAGGTTGAACATTTGGTAAAATTGCATCTATCTTGTGAGACAGCCAAGATTTTCTGCTTTCCCCGAGATTTAAAACCTCATAAGAGAGGTTCTCTTCTTTGCATTATGGCAAATAGAAATAGAAATGAATGTCACTGAAAAATCAAGGAGGGAAAAAAAGGAACTGTGTCCTTTCCTGTTTCCAGAGTGTAGCTGAGTGGGAAGTTCCTCTGCTTGCAGAGGGCTGAGGCAGGAAGACCCAGCAGCTCAGCCAGCACAGCCACTGTGCTGTCATACTGAGACAGGGCACCAGGACCAATGTTCAAGCTATAGGAGGGGCAGAAAACCACAGGCCACCTCCAACCACACCAGAACTTCAAGCTCTGGAAGTGAAAGTTGAGGAAACATCCTAGAGATAGAAGAAAAAAAGCCCTTTCCTCAGTATCCTGCCTGTGTGCAGGGGGGTCTTCTGAGGTCCCACCAGCCAGCTGTGTGCTGGGGTTTTTCCAAGTGAATATTTAATAAGTAAACTAAATATAATAATGATCCCAGCTGCCAAGGGTACAATGTAGTCAATGGGAGCCTGTTTTGATGAAATACCTTTTCCTGTGGAGCACTCTGAGGTCTTACCTCTGTCTTCCATGATGATTCTGTCACACTGCACCTCCTTGTTCTTTGCAGCTCCTTTAAGGGTTTGCATTGTTTTTTCTACATACTGATCATTCCCAGGTCTGGTTTTGCACATTTCAACATAAATCTTGTTCCTCTCCCTTGGGAAAAAAAACCAAACACACCAACAAAAGTTTATATTGACTTTCAGAAAAACATTAGTATTCAACTTCTCAGTGTCTTTAACCCCAAGTTGGACAGGATACTCCATGTCATACAATTAATCCTCTATTTTTTTGGATTGCCAGATTTTATTTCACTCTACATTCCATCTTTCAGCAGGGGTTTGTTGACCTCATGGTGCTGTTCCAAAGCAGAGATGGCCCAGGGAGGGAGGCAGCAGCATACCCCCCTACTCCAACTACCTTTGACCTTTGGGGGAATTCAGAGGGAATTCAGAATTCTTGTAGCTCACCACTTGGCAACAAAAGGCTGTGCATCCAAAAGACAACAAATGAAACTAGTACTTTGCTGTTTCAGCCAGTCCTTAGGGTCTGTAGGAATGGTCAGTGGGAATTCTGAGCCTTTTTCCATTCTTTTGGTTTTGATATTCTAACAGCAGACATAGGTGATACCCCATCTTAGTTCACCAACAGGTGGCTGTGCTCAGGTAGAGTCACTGTCTGTCCCTCTACAGGCAGTATGTTCTAAGTGATTCACAGGGTGCTCTTCCTTCTTCCCAAAAATCCCACCAGTATCATTCCCAGGCAGGGGGCTTGGAGTCCCACCATCAAGTTTGTGTATATACTAGCAGAAAAAACTCCCTTAGATAAATTGTAGAGAGCATCCCAAGCTTTGGGGCTTGTGTCTACAAAAGGTGGGGGACTCCTCCCTCAGCCTGACACCCATCAGGGGGAGAACTTTGCTGTGCTCTGGCCCAGTCAGCTCCTGGGAAGGATCCAAAACTTGCATGTTCTGAGTTAAATCCCTCCCAAAGGTCATGGCAGTGCAGGGAGCAGACCCTGCAGTGGAAACACACTAGATGCAGTGAAGGGAGATGCAATATTTTACCAGGCAAGGTGACAGGTGGTGGGCTGAGGTTCCCTCTAGCTAGAAGCTCTGTGAAGAGCTTCAGAGGAAGTCAAGACCTGCTTAGTCTGTGCATATCTTGGTCATTAACAAGTGATTAGCTGTAGAGCTACACACAAGAACCAGTGCAGAGGTTTGCAATTTCTTACTGTTTTCCTTAAAATGACATTGCATCATGGGTGTGTAGCACACTTCTCCAGCTTCTCTTTCCCCCACCCCCTGCTTTTGCTGATCTGCCTTAAGGTATCAGTGAATGAGGATATGAATGTGATCAACAAGACACAGTGATAAGGAATTGAGGCTGTTTGGCAAAAGAGAGACTTGGGCCCCACGTGGCTTTAGACAAGGTGACATGAGAGCCTGGAGCAGCCAGAGCTCTGCAAGGTGTGAGCAGCCTGCCCAGGACTTGTCACCAGCAGAAAGTGGGTGTGCTGAGCTCCCCACCTGCACCTCCCCAGGCACTACTGTACATACAGCACTCTTGCAGCCTCTGCTGACTCTGTGGACACCACAGCAGGTGCCATCTGCAACATCCAGAGAGTTTCTGTCTCGGTCAGGTAGATCTCCACTCTTCTCTCTAGGTCTTCTTTTGTCAGTTCTTCTGTTATCTCCTCACACCTCCCCTGCACACCTGAAAAATGACACGAGGTTAACAAGCAAGACCTGTTCTGCTCTAACTTTAAAAGAAGACAAATTCATTCTAAAGGGATTGCTAACGATCAGGAGCCAGAACTGGTGAGGCACCGAGTTCCTCTGAGGTGCTGGGCATCTCACCCACGCTGCTGCAGTGCCTCACCCATCACAGTGCTCCTCAGGACTGGTCAGATCTCTAACTACATGATGTTTGCTCTTTACCAGATAAGCCAACAGTTGTGTCTTGCTGAGAGCCAGGCTCTGCTGCTCCATCTGGCACGGACTCCGTTCCGCAAGCGTTGGATCCAGGAATGCTGCTGCTTCCATGTGTCCTTCAGGAGCAAAGGAAGAAGCAGAAATGGCAGGTGAGACCCCAGGTGCCTTGTAGCAGAGCACTACAAACGAGCAGCTGTAGCAGGAGAAACCTGGGAGGACTGTGGGAGCACACAGGGATGCTTGTCTTGTGAAGAGAGCCACAGAAGGCTCAGGAAGGATAAGGCAGACTTGGCTTGGAAGAGACTTTCAAAGGAAGAATTCCTCTGACAGCATTTCCCAGGGCATGCAGCAGCTAATGGAAAAGAAGCTGTTGAGTTCTCAGGTTCATTCTGAGCATATAACAAGGTGAGGTGTTGGCACACCCTGTGTGACAGGGCATTCCCACAGGCAGCTCTGCTCTCCACCAGAACTGAGATGCTCTGCCTGTGCTGAGATGTCTGAACTGCACCAGAAACTCACCTGACGGGATGAGCTGTGAGAACTAGAACTAAAACTCTGTTGGGTTTGGCAGCAGATTCCCTCAGAAGCTGAGCATGGGCAATCATAGATACATAAAAGGTATTTGAAAAAGGCTATTTGAAAGATTTGCATTTAAAACCCAAGTTAAACCACTGAATTTTGTCTTTTAAATGAAGAACTACTATCTCAAAAAAGGATGTGTTTATTTTGCAGGAGAAGTTTTGTATTTTTAAGTCAATTTTTGGTGTGTATTTGCTCCCTACCTCTGGGATTATCCTTTAGAATAACCAGCCTAGGAAACATGACAAAAAGAGAATTCTCAGAGAGCAGTATTTTCTTCTCAGACATCAGGGTGGGATTAACTTTGCCAAAGAAAACAGTAAATAACACTTTTCTTTAATGTGTATATTTTTTTCTGGTGCTGGCTTTGCCAGTCCTTTAGGCTTTGACTGAACAAACAGCATCTCCTCTCCATCCAGCTTCAATCTTCACACACTGTGGGATGAAGTCATGGGCTCCATCCGTTTTAATCTTAAATGCAAACAGTTACTTGCTTTCTCTTGCATGATTTAGTTGAATTTGTCAGCCTGAAGATAAAGTGGCCCAAATCCCTTGACTTTGTTTATCCCCTCTGTACTGAGGGTTTGCAGATGAAAGCCAGGAAGCAGTGGAACATGTGATTTAGCAGTTTTAACCCAAAAGTTTTTTGTAGAAAACCATTTTTTTAAAATGGATGAACATCATCACACAGAGGTAACTTGCTTAAAGTAGTTTAAAATAGAGGATTCTTATCATGTTAACAGTATTTGAGCTGAAAGAGTCAAGTTTATAAAAAGGCTGAACTGAGTAAGTACCTTGAAAACTGACAAAATGCTTTAAAATAAACATGTAACCCTTCAGTGAAACCACACCTTTTGTTTCTAGAGCTTTTTTTCCCTACCCACAGCCACAGGGGTATTGATATATTGAAGGCTGTGGAAAAATATGCTTGGGGAGGGCAGAGAGCACCTGCAGTAGGTAAAGGGAGGGTAGGAACAAGCTGCAGATGTGCCTCAGCAGAACACATCCTGGGAGGTGTGTCCCTGGGGTTTGTTCATGGGTCTGGCTATAGGTTCCAGCAGAACTGGGTGTGGAAGCTGGTGCAACCCCTGCAGTGTGGGTGTCTGCACTGGGGAACTGAGTCTCTCTAACAAAGGTCCGTTCTGGCATGTTACATTAAAAAAACATGGTTTAGGAAGGAGAACTTGAATAAAATTGGAGCTCTGACAGGAGCACCCACCTGTCTGCATGAGCCTGTCAGTGGTGATGCTGACACAGTCACAGGTGGTGACAAATCCTATTGATTGTTTGTAACTATTCCTCAGATTCCCAGTGCTGACTATCCCAGAAACATCCAATCCCAGACTGGTTTGGGTGGGAATGGACCTTAAAGCTCACCTAGTCCCAACCCCTGGGCATGGGCAAGGACACCTCTAACTAGATCAGGTTGCTCCAAGCTCCATCCAACCTGCCCTTCAACACTTCCAGGGATGGGGCAAGTTGACAGGCACGTTTGTGCAATTTGCCAGCTCAGTATGATGATGAGCCCTGCACAACCATTCCAGGCAAGTGCCCTGTGAGGCAGGATTTAAGAAACAACAGGTTGACTTACCCGGGGAATGAACCTAGGTTGGCATTCCCTCCTGCTGGCTGCTGCAAGGGAAAAGAAGAGGGAAAAGCAGATCCTGCATCCCCAGAGGAAGCAGCTGCTGTCCAGAGCTTGCCTTGCTGGGAAGTGTTTGGATCTGGATGGAAGAGTGGACGGGGTGTCACATCCTTCCCCTCATCATCAAAGACCTGAGGAAATATTGGAATAATTACAGCAGTTTCACTGTGTTCCCACAACCAGGGGCAGTGATGACACTTGCAACGTTTTATCTTGCCTGCAAGAAAAAGAAGACCTGGATCCAGGCAGGACCCTGGTGGAAAAGGGAGGTAACCCCCCTCTGCAAG